CAACAGTTTAATGCGGTCAGGTCATGGATGAGGTGCCCCAGTGGGGTTATACCGCTTGGGATCGAAATTATCGTAGGAGGATTCATGAAAGTTTTGGAATGCGTTGACAACCTTCGGTATCTAGTAGTTTATGAGACATGAGAAAATTAGGAATATAAGTATATTTTTGTAAAGTTTATGATTTTCTCATTTTGCACCTTCGCATAATAATTCTCAGTATTTGATTACTATCAATATTTAACAGTGATTTTATTATCAGTATTGACCAGAAATTAAGTACTGGCCAAAAAATTACTGAATTACTGGTAATATTTAATCACTAATAATTTTTCAGTATTTCTTAGTATGATATTTCTATAAGGACCTCAGACGACATCGATTTAATAAACCCCATGATGACAAGTCTTCGTAAATGGGCCGAATAACTTCTTCAACCTTAGCATTAAGAGGGGGAGGGGGAGGATAATCAAATCATCAAGAGTTCCAGCAGCCGCAGCGCATCGCCACCACTTACACCACGAATTCGGACCCGACGGACAGCGTTCGTGCATCGGTTTGTCGTTCATCGAAATTTTATGTCCAAATATGACCCAAACGTCATTAATCATATTTTGCTTGCCGTTTTGTGACAGTCTTACGCTGCTCGCTTGCAGCGCGTTTTCGCGCACTGCGTGTCCATCTCAACTATTGTATCGTCGATTTTATTAAACTGTTCTTGTTAAGTCAAACATCGCGTATTCTCTGCCGCTTTAACTCAATATCCTAACTTCTACAATGCTCCGAGCACCCACGGAACAAAACCGCCTTTCTCGCGAACATAAACCGTCCGTCATATGCCTGTGGCGTGCGCTCGCTAGTGTATAGCTAGATTGTATGAACTAGGAACATGTTTTTCCACATTGTAGTAATTGAACATAAAAATAGAGTTCTTCACGAGTATTAAAAAAAAATACTAAAATCGGATAAGAATTGAACCGTGTCTACATTTTTGTCCAAAAAATGCTTGAAAGTTCCCACTGTGCGACGTAAGCGCGAACAAGCGCAAATCGGACACCAGAGAGACACTCAATGCGTAGACTACATACACACATATATGTTTAATAATTTTAGTATGTACAATACTATTAAAAATAGTAGTATTTTAATCCAAACTCAAAAGCCACAAAAGTGGTTTTCCCGGCAGCCTAAAAATTAAGCATAGTTCTCTTGAGCGTGGATGGTAAATACTAATGTTCCTATCAATGGATTACAGCTCAGAAATCAAACTATACATATCTCGGGAGCTCATAAATCGAGAAAATATTCTCTGGCGAGAAAAATAACTCATTTTTAGATTTTTGAAGATAGCTCACTCAAGATTGCGCCTGTGCTATAAGAGGTGGTGTTCTTGCCAAGAGGTAGCAGCTCAAAAATCAGAATTTACATAAGTCGAGAGCTCATAAATCGAGAAAATATGTTCTAACGAAAAATATCCCATTTATGGATTTTTCACTAAGATAGTTCACTTTTGCGCCAGTGCAATAAAGTATAGTGTTCGTGCCACTCTTATAGAAAAGTATCACTGGCTATGATAAATTGGCCAGTAATAAATAGTATTTTATTACTCGCACGAGTAATAAAATTATTGAACGACAGTAATTATCACTGGCCAAATTATCACTTATCAGTATTAAATTTCTATAAGGGCAAAGAGTACTAGCTCAAAAATCAGGATACATCTCGGGAGTACATAAATCGAGCAAACATTTTCTGGCGAGAAATATCCCTTTTATCGATTTTTGAAGATAGTTCACTCTTGCGCATGTGGCATAAGGGGTGGTGTTCCCGCCAAGAGGTAACAGCACAAAAATCATATCTTGGGATAATATCTCGGGAGCCCATACGTCAAACAAACATTTATTGACGAGAAGTATCCCATTTATCGATTTTTGAAGATAGTTCACTCTTGCATCTGTGGCATAAGGAATGGTGTTTGTGCCAAGGAGTAACAGCTCAAAAATCAGAATATATGTAACCGCGATGCGTCGCGTTCCGGATTACGCTCGTCGGTTCGGATTCGTAGGAGACTGAATAATTTTTGAGGCAGTGGAGTAGTAGTAAGCTTTGTCGTCTATTTAAAATTTGGTGTCGCTATACATATTAACTTGTACATTTATAGCATGTTCGACTGGCTCTGGATTAACCCACTCTGGGTTATTCAGCCTACGTTTATTGGTCGAACAAGTACTTATAAGCTTTATGATTGGCTAGTAGAGACTTATAACGTCATTAATTGCTCTCGGAGCGATTAACCCAGTCGAACACGCTAATAGTGTCGACGCCGTTGGTTGTTGGTCGCTTGGTGTATACGCTTATCAGAGGTTTTTGTATTGCTAGGCTCGCGCGGTGTCGCGCGCGATGCGCGGGACGCGGTCGGTTGTGTTGTCGCGTCGCTTCTTCAAGCGTGAATTCGTCTGTTGATGTTTCGGCTTCTTGTCGATTTAAACGCCGGTTGACAATGGTTTTAAATCGCCACTGTACGATGCGACGCGGTACAGAAGGTCTTGCAGCAGAGCTGCAAGCGGCAGATCGCCCCGGTAGCAATGCCTCGTATGCAACGGTTGCTCTTGCAGTCGTTGACGCGGTGGTTGTAGGCGGAAGCTGCGTAAGCAAGCCGGAGCGGAGCCTTCATTGGCTTCGGTTGCCTCGGTTAGCGGACGAGTCCTGCTCGTTCGCACGAGATCGCGGATGCGGAGTATACGGAAGTGCGGACGCATCGGTGCGCCGCGGTAGCGGAATAATCCCGATCTCACTGTACGAGTTAGGTCTCTGGTACTACGGAATTAGCTCGCGTCCTTGCGAGCCGACGGCAGTGTAATCCGTTCGCACCAGATCGCGGATCAGTACGGACCGGTGTCGAAGCGTTACAGCAGAGCGGTACTTTGATTATGCGGAAATAAGTTAGCACGCAACGACTCAATAAAGCGTCTTCTACAATGGCAGTAGGAGTACTGGATGAAGGGAGTAGTTGTAAGACGTAGACTGTAGGTTTAAGGCTTCCTTACGCCCGAGTGTCTACAATAGCGTGTAGCAAGAATTACAATGAGCCAATCAGCATTGACGAAAGTTATCTATTTGTACAACGTGAAAACATTACGGTATAGGGTAAATGTATCAATGCCCGGATATGTACCCATCTCCGGACATTGTTATTATTTTTGTATTTGAATATGAATATTTCAACTTTCAACGTACAATACATACATATAGGTATACATACATTTAATATTTATATTTAT